CGTGTGCGCCTGTCTGTTGTTCGATTACTCACATACGAGTGGTTGGATTCAGTTACTAGATCAGTGCTCTGTACCCGCTCCGGCCAGAATTCACATTTGTATGCTGCCAGCTAGACGTGTTCTGTTGTTTTTGCGTTGTTCGGCTAAGAGCCATTATTGCGTTCCCAGGCTAGCTTTACTTCCCTCCCGATCACGTACTTTCATCCCTTTTCCAATGCTGCTGTGTCGGGATCTTATGGTTGAGGTTTTTGCCAATACTCATGAGTAAGACATTCAGATGTAGTTGTATTGAGCGTTTTCGCAGCAGCCATCAGGTCACATAGGCAGAGAGGGACCCTATTGGGGCTTGTTAGTGGTGCGCATCTTCAGGCTCCGAGCCTGTGAGCAGTAGACAGCAGCTTATGCCGTTAGGCCACCGTGGTCGTTAGCGGACCGTCATGAGTTATTGTGTAACTACTATATAGAGTCACCAATCCTCCATTACCATACAAGTTACGAACGTTGAAGAGGACAATGTTACTCCTATGATTCATAGCATTCCGTTAACAGCGGCTATATAAGATTTAGTGTTTGGAAGCTGTCACAACATTATGAATGCTTTTGAGTAAAGGATTTTGCGCATGTACCATAAATTTTATAACAGTGCCGTAAATATTGCGACTCAGTTTTGTTCTGCTTTCAGGATCATTGAATGCGCATAACTCAAATTTCGAACGTTGCTTTTTATCCCTCGGGCTTTAATGATGTTCCATTGTTGCACTTTCCATTGGACCGATTATTTTGCGCATTCGTTTTGCGTTATTGACAACTCGGATTAGGACAACGGTTGCCTTCTGGATATCTGTTGTCACATATCATCTTATGGAGCTGTTTGGTAGACTTCAACAGCATTGTGTGATTTGAGACTGCGATTTACTGAAGCTCTGCTTGTGTAAATGCCCGATGCTTCAACGAAGGTAGTGGGAATAGTCTTCCCGTCTACTGCTTTAGTAATCCGGCCGCAGCTCATCGACATGTTTGTCTGCGTACAGTAGAAGGTAATCGTGCCGTTCTGGTTCAATATCTGTAGACAAGTCTAATTCACCAATCACCAGCAGCATCTTCACAACTCAGGTTTGGAACACATCATATGTTTCGGCGCAATTTGCGGCAGTCGTCATCTGATCCGTGGTTCCACCTGCTGCATGCGCACCACTGACGAGCCCCAATAGGGTGAAACGTGGTCTTGTGGTTTTCCGGATTGTTAGCTTACCTATGCGGCTTGGAATCTAATTGCGATGAACCAACTCGAATCATACCCAAATCCATCTACTCATTACTAATCTTTGTTTACCATGTGAAATGGACGATCACCAAAATCGTATACCAGTTCTACCGACCCAGTGATGTGGATGGATTAAAACGGAACAGTCGCGAATGCTGAATCCTGACATTACGTATGCCGCAACGTCCATTTCGTGCATCGTCAGTAGGTATGACCAAACCAGTTACAGGTCTCCGTGCAACTTAAAAAGGACCGAACGATTGGACATATTTATCGTGGTAGGCATCCCAGCAGGTGGTGGTCAGAAACGGCAAACTACACCATTTCTGGGCCAAGTTGTCGTCTTGGGCAACAGAATTAATCTGAGGGGGCATCCAACATGAGTCTACTCAATTAATTTGAGAAACCATGGCCAACCTGGTGCATCGGCCAGCGACACTATCCCTGGTAGGAGTTGAAGCGTCCCACCTGCACCCCTATGACTTAGTGCGTCTGAGGTCCAATTGGCTGAAGGCGACGGGTTATACACGCACACCTACAAAAGTAAGTGGCATACGCATGGCTCAAATTAATTGAGTAGACTCATGTTGAATGCCCCCTCAGATTAATTCTGTTGCACAAGACGACAATTTGGCCGAGAAATGGTATAGTGATGGACGTGGGCACTTGTAGAATTCATAGGGTGTTGACCCGAGTGATCCGCAGCATTCGAACCGAGTGCACTGTCTTTCGCCATGCAGCTACTAAGCGCTGTGTCAGAGCAGATGCTGTATTTTCCACGGGATCAGTAAGTTGCCCACGTAGGTACAAATTCAGGTAGTTAAACGATTGGCTCGACAAAATAACCGGTACGAACGCCAAACATTGGAGGTGAGCAACTGAATATTTCGAATTGCATGGCATTTGAAATTTAAGTGAAGTTGATAGGTTAACACAAAGCAGACTCGTGAGCTCAAGTAATGTTTAAGGTTAGTGTCGTAACTGGCTCCTTTGCCAAAATTGTTTTGTGTTTCTGATCATGGTAATTGATACAGCTACTCGGGCCACGGTCCAGTTACTTATTAAATCGGAAGACGAATAGTATGTACAGCTAATAGGTGGAATCAAAATATAAGGTTCATAAGAGAATACCATAGCTCTATGTTGCCGGATTCTAGCAACTAATGTATGTCTGAAAATCTGCTTGTTGGCTGCTCAAGTAGTGCGCTCACTGGAGCGCCTAATGTTCGGTAATTATCATTGGTGGACTTCAAGGTAAAACGCTCTCATTGGTTATCCAATTGGCTTGGGGTTGCGTCGGGCTTATCTTATACTGGGTGCTGGCGATAACACCGGCTCCGAGAGCTGCTATGAGCGGGCCGCCCTAACATTTTCCACTCGGAATGGAACTATCTCATATTCTTACAGAAGACCAAGCGAAATATTCACCTAAATTTCTTCCTAGTGATATACGCCATTTCGTAGTATAAGCTACCGGTGCAAGTAACGACTAGGTAGAGCGTCTACATTTTGATCTCTTAAAATCTTTTTCTATACCAAAGGTGATCCAACTTTTCGGACTTAAGCAGTCTACGACTACCCTCATGAGCTGCAGTCCGAAAAGCATATGACGTAACAAGTTTTTAAACAACTGGTTACTCTTTACACGTTTCACAAACCATTTCACTAATGATCTATCTTGAATCCGGAGTTCATTAATGAAATGAAACTGCACGAATGACCATTCCACAACAAAGAGTCCATTCAACCCGCCATGAAATATACTTATCAGTTGTTTGTTTCTTCTCATGACGCGTTCTATGGGAGCAATTCTATGGTTACTGTACACGGCACCAAATTTGCGGTTCCTTGAATTCAGTACCAAAATTTTTGTTCCTGTTTTCGAGCAATTCTCATCCTGTATTGACTTTCGTGGCTTTTCGGGATCTCATTTCGCTTTGCATGTCAAACAACTGAACTACAGCTGTCACAGAAAAGACACATTTTAGTTCGTTGATTCATATATGGGTGATCTTATCACTGCTTGATGCGCTTGTTCTGGTTGGAAGCAGGCACGGTTAGGTGGATCTTACTCCATTTGAATTCTAAGCTACCGCACGTGTTAGCTTTGCTGAGAGATGTGGCCACCGTCTTTTTGGCTGCTCGAACTATATACCAACCGAACCAGTCTGTAGCCGTTGTGTGACCATACACCGGTTTTTTAAGCACAGTTCGTTTTTTCTATTCAAATCCTACTTAGCATCAGTTACGCAAATGACCAACACATAACAAGTTGGAAGTTTGTGAGCAGGGTAAAGTTTGTAGAAAGTAGAAGTCACGATTAAAATTCACGCACAACAATATGCCTCGACGGGGAGTCGAACCCCGGTCCACGAATTTCCGGTCCGCTACTCTACCACCTGAGCTACCGAGGGTTGACGATTAGGTGCGGACATAACAAGTTGTCGAGGCGAAATCGATGCCGGAATTTAATAGATTTCTCGATGCCCACTATGCGGATTACGCGTATAGGGAACGTATCACTCCCGGATAAGATGTAGTGCCGATGTAATATGCTGCCACCGCGCACGATCAGCGGCGTGATTGCGTGCAGATGCCTGATCTAAGTACGACGATGTAACATTGATTTATCTCTTGCTCTCTAATTTCACTATTTAGTATTCAACTTACCGGACTCGGGATTCGGTTTTCTTCTTTGGTATTTTCACTTCGTATGGTTATTGTGTCCCTGTAAACTGGTCATTATTGGAGAATACTCGCTTTTGCCTGCTACTTGGCCGTTTGGGATCGTGCATAATTCCTTGCTTTAACTCTCCCACCATTTTTGCCCCATACCTTGCCTTCAGAAATTGTTGTCTTGTGCACCACGGGTCAACTACAACAATGTCCTAAATAGTTGTTACCAAATTAAACACCCGTGTTACTTTTCATTCAATGGATTTGATTTTACCACTGTTTTGTCTCTTTTATAGCGCTGTCATTTTATCTCTGTTTGAATAGGTATACGGTTTTTCTATTATGTTTTTATCTATCAATAACACAATACTTTCGTTTTATTCACTTGAACAGTCCTATCGAGCGACCACATTTGTCGCCCCAATGTTCGTATGCTACGTGAGCGACATTGTGTGTCGACTTTTAGTGCGTGGATATATTTATCGTTGACATTTCTTTCCTTCAGTTCTTAATGTAGCTAATTGCCGTGTTTACTGACTTAACTTTTTATTTTCATAGTCAAACCAAACAAAAACTTTTTCAAACACCAAATTCATTGTCTATTTTTGAAATATGGCCAGTTAACAACCTTGAGGACTTGCTTTTGTTCCGCTTTTCAATTTTGATCTCTTATCTAACATAACTGAGTCAATTTTCCTTATCTTATCTCTTTTTTACCGAACTTCGACACTTTTCCCATGTTGCAGTATTTTTACATGCTAACTGCTTGTGGTTGAAACTGATCCGCGAAGTACTATTTCCCCTCGGGGTGTTTTCCGAGGCTCGTTAATGCCCAAACGCGATCCGCAATTTTGTTTTCAATTTGTCTTCTGTCGATACCACTTTGTTAGCAGTTGAAGTAACTTCTCATTTGAATTCTGTTTCTACTAATTTTCATTGTACGGTCTTGATAGGAATGACTTGTTTCTTTTTTAGTAGTTACTCGATACTTTGCTATTACATGTCTTACTATCCTCACTTGTTCGACGCACACCACCGCTTTTCTCTCCATCTTTTTCAGGTGCGTGGAATTCATCTTGGATCTTCCTCAATTAGAGCTAACTTACTGGGTATCATATGCCAACCGAACCGGGGTTCATGCGAAAACAGGACCTATTAAACTGAAAGCCGATTTGCGCTATTCTATAGAGCATGAAACTAAGGTACCGTTTGGGTCCGATCGTCCTCCTGGACTTCTGCAGTCTTATGTAATGATGCCTCCGGTCAGTTTCAGGCGTGGCAACGAAATCTTGCGACGCCCCGCGGCTTCGTGGCTAGTATCCCATCTGTCAACTACGGTGCGTAGCAGTCGAATCCGTTTGATTCACAACGCCGATTTACCTGGACAGGTCGTGCAAATGTTATTGAAAACAGCTGCACATTTTCAGGCAAGTCGCCACTGTTCGGTTTTGCAAAAGCGTTTGATGGATGCATATTTCAGTTCCTTTTATAATTGTGCTTACGCGTAATCACTTTGCCTCTCTCTATTCATTATGACACAGGCTGATGTGGTTCGCTTTATATTTATAACCTCTCTTCACTCGTTTGTCTGGTATCAAGCATTGGTTTTTACCTTGTCGCCATTAATTTGAACTGCATAGAGTGCGTCGACGCTTACCGTTATTCTCTCCCATTGTAAGACATTTGTAGTCGCTGTAATCCCTTCTATTACCGATCGATTCTTGAATTGTTACTCTATGCCCATCCGCGCTGTCCATTTTCGACCCGTCCTCCAGGCCCTTTCACTCTCTTGACCACGGTGCGTTATGATGTCCAGCTAGAAACAACCAAACCACAACTTTGCAGATCCTCTCTGACTGCCACGATATTCTGTCAACTATTATCTATCATTATCATCGTCATTTGACTTTGGCTATTTTCCACACCCTACTGTCAACTATGAGTAGTTAACTCGCTACTTGCTGTGCCGTCATTTGCCATAGCCCACTGGGCTTCGCCATCTACACCCTAAATTTAAGAACAAGGAGCTCTTTGCCGCTCATGTGACCGTTGTCGTTTTACTACCGCCATAACCAGGCGTCATTTTTCACTCACACTTCCCATCACCTTGTGATCACCTTTTTTCTTTTACGACCACACTTATCACTTGCCTCTTCTGGTTGGTTTCCGCTCCCTTTGGTTAGATGCACGTCGTTTGATTCTCCTTACGTTAGCTCATATCAGATCCAATGAATCGTTCCTCCATTCAACGTCGCTGTATGTTTATGTTATACTTTTCACCATGCTTGCTCTTTATTTAGATGAACCCAGTTGTCGGAATCCCTACTCCAATACAATCGGATCATTTGGGTAACTGTGAGGAATTCGTCATTGTTCCACTAGTCCACTACGAACAAGTCTCCCCAGTTTTAATACCGCACTGTACTGTCCGAGTGCATATTCCTGGCCGCGGTAATGAAGGTACTTCGATCTACTCCTCACCACCTCATATTGCCCCTGTTACTGGAGAGACACTTTACAATCAGTCTACGAAATGTTACACTGAACTACCATCTTCCCGTCGTAACTATGATGTGACCCATGAAAGTGTGAGTTCCACTACTGCACATGGTTACGTCTTTGTGTCTGAAGCCATTATAGACTGAAAGGTGTTGTTTCGAGAAATGGTGGTGTTTCGCTGCTTTTCCGTCCTGTTATCTGTTTAGAGTCTACCCGTATAAGTTTTTACAGGGATGTTCAGTACCCTAGGCATGAACGTGTGTTTACAGATGTAGTGTTCCTGTAGGTCATCAGGGGGAGTTATGTGCACAATTCACCAATGAGAGCCAATCCGTCTGAAGCAAATACCTTTTTCGGTCCGTGAGCGTCTTTTTGTTCTTACTGAATCTCCAATATTTTCAGCTTGTTATTTCTTTTGCGTGACCTCATTTGTGGTGTTTTCCGTATTTCACGTATAATAATTCTTTAGATTCGCAGCTGACGCTTTGGAGTAACGCAAATGCACCCCGACAAAGTTCCCCATGTTACTGAAGACTTCGCGACAAATATTTGGTGGTTAGGCTCAAGATTGTCTTCCATTATCCACGCTTTTATCACGAGAACCATCTGAACATCAGAGCTAAGTGAGCGTAGGAAGTGTACATTAGTTCTAATGAAGCGTGCCTTGAGTAATAGAATGCACCTTGACTGCGGTTGATGGAGTGAGTTCATTGATTGTTTAAATAATACGGAACCATCCTCTCGTGAAACTGTTTTAGATATATGAGTTGAAGTGAACTCAGTGATGTCTGCTCCATCGCTAATATGTCCAATTGTATGGAAAATGATTCCCATTTGAGCTGTGGAATACCTTAGGTTAAAGTATGAGTTGTTTTATTGAGTGCAGTTTTGTACCGGTCTGATATGAATCACCCTTTTCTTTTGCATACACTGAAGGAAAATTGATACAATGTACTTGGCTTCTGTCTGATGTGCCAGTGTTGGAATAGCTGTTGAACCATCCTTGCTTTCTGTAACAATTGCATCATCATCACAACACGCTTGCGCAAGGTCAGAAACACCTCTGTCATTGTGACTTATTACAAAAAATTAGGTATATATAAGAAGCAAGATATTTGACATTACCGAATAATACAAAAAAAACTAAGAAAAAAGGGTTATGCTGCTAAGTATCGTGTCAAGTTTGGAATGTGAGATCGTAGATGTATGGGGAGGAGAAAGGACAAAGTGATACTGCACAAATGCCATTGGGTCAATTCTTCACTATATCAACTAGGATGTCCAACCAAACGAATTAATCCTCTTTCGGACCCCAGACATGCAGTCGAGACACACCAGCCGACGCCAAGTTTTAAGTGAGGGACTTAAGTCCCCTTGACCAAGTCATCTGCTTGCTTCCGTACCGTTTCTTTTATTTACGCCCCCAATGCGCAAACAACGCGCTTCGCGCGAGTCGGCGTGCTGCCATGGGCAACACGCGACCCAGCCATCGGACCCCAGTGTGTGTTATAACGGTGCCGAACGGTTCACTTGCTCTTCCTGCACCGAATACTAGACACCGAACAGGTTCATTGCTCACCCGTTGTACCCACTACAGATGAGCTAAACTGCGAAGATAACGATGGCCTAAGCTTTTTACATCTATCGATTTATTGGGCCAGGTTTCGCAACCGTACAGAATGGCAGAACGGATAAGGGTCAGGTAAACTCTGCCCTTCAGCGTAAGTATGATGTTGCACCGGTGCCACAGGTGGCAGAGAGTGGCCAAAGTGCCTTGAGCCTTTGCTATACCGTTGATGAGCTCATCTGATACTCTACGTTCGCTAGATACCTGATTTTTGAGACGTTTTCTAACCAATCACCAGTAAGGACCAGTGTATGTATGGTTCCCTGCCATTCTTGACGCGGGACCTTGAATTTCCAGGGTGCAATGCAGAGAGAGAAACGACTGACAATCAGTGCTAATCTGACCAGTTCTGCTTGGCACGTTTGTGTGTTGTCACATAGTAGGATACTGTCGTCGGTTTTTCGGTAGCAGTGGAAATGAACAAAAAATAATTTATCAGCTTCATCAGTCGGTTAATTATTGGTCTCGTTTTGCTTCAGCCATTTCTTTATACGTTACTTTTATTTTGAATAGTTACACTGGTAGGTGCTTCTCGATTGCTTGTTTTGGCTCGCAGATCTGTGATTCAACCGGTCGCTTGTTCTAATTATCGAGATATCTCACAAGTTAAAATTCTTCGCGCACGTTTCTTTCCGTTTTGCAAATAGCTAGCGCATTTTCTCTTCGTTTCTAGTAATTCCTCGCCTAATTACATTGGACCACACCTGCACACTGATCCACGTTTACGGACTCGTAGTCACCTTTTCTGATTTCGCCCGCTGCTTGTCAGGTAGGCTGTTAAACCAAATGCTCGGGGCAGTCATATAACTCAACTCTGCCTCGGCTTTGACAATCAGGTAGTATCACGTCCGCTAAAAACATGAATTTACCACTTTTTCACGCATCCGCTACTGCTGCTTTTTTCGTTCGCCAACCTCGATCACACGCCAACTCTACATTCGTTGGCAGTACATCCTCTGTTTATCCTACTTCATATCCCTGTTCACCAACACCGGAAAAACTCATTCGACGGTCTTACTTCGATATCGATGTATGCTTCAAATGGCATGCTTTAAGGTACGAAGGCAAATGCAGGCTGTTCGACAGCCAAGCCTAGCGGGCACGCTGGAGTCTCTCGCCATTGATGTTTGCTGAGTTTCCGACACCCGGTTCAGTAACACGACTGTATACTCGGGCTGACATCCCCTTCTGATTGCGGAACCACCTACCACCGGCCCACACTCCTTCACAGGTAAACACAAGCACGCTGTAGTTCGGAAACACGCGCACACAAGGTGGTGACTGGACCGTAGTCCGCTCCACACTGATTGCATGGAACCTCTCTTTGATCCTAACACGGCCACAAGGACTGTGCACCCCGTCCCCTCCAGCAACGACCAACTGTCTTCTGAAGCCATTACGGACGATGTGGTGGGCGATAGATCGGTAGACACCTTGTCAACATGCACATCAAGCGCAGCCACTCCGGGGATATCAAGCAACAGCCAATCACTTGAGAGCAAGATAACAAAGAACATAAATCTAGTAATGCATAAGGAAACGATGACATAAATTTTAACTTAATGAGCATCTGCAATAAGTTGTTTGCAAAAGTATCCGAGATAAGTTCACGAGGTCAGAAAGTATATTTTACGGAAATGACACAAACACGAAAATGTTATCGAAATTAACTACAATTGGCTTAAGTGACATGTGCAAGTTTATAGACGAGAGTACAGGTAGACATTTATATGAGAAAGAAAAACATTAGGACATAAATCAAAATCCACCACCTGAAATAAATAGACTTATCATGCAAGCACTCGTTTAGTAAATCGAATGCTGCGTGACTAAAAACACTGCGCCGGTTCTGCCTACGTCCTCTGCAGGACCCGTCGTCGCTTCGGTAGTGGTCCCGAGTAGCCTCTCTCATGGCTCACTAGGCCTGCCTGACTAAGGCACTCGCGACCGAATGTGCTACCGCACCATGTGCTCGATGTCGATGAAGTACAACCCATCGTTGCTTGCCGCTTCCGCACTTGCCGCTTCTTCTCTGCATGTATGAGGTCTCTCTTCCGCACTTTGGCAACTGCCTTCGTGATCAGATAGCGCCATGCACACCGATCAACCGCCTTCGATTCCCATGACCTGAAATCAAGATTAGAACGTGTGAGGCTCACTTTGATCATGTCCTGGTAACGTAATTTTGTTTTCCCCACATACCGCTTCCCAATATTCAGCTGACCAGGTAAATTTTGATACGGTATCCGCGTCGAATCCATACGGACCACATGACAGAGTCACCTCAGATGTCTCAGCAAAAGTATGCAGCTCACTGCATACATTCCATTTTTTTGCAGTACTTCCGTGTCAGCAACTCTGTCGCCCCAACTGATGCGCAAAATCCGTCGCAAACACTGCTGATGGAACCGCTCAAGATATCACACATCCCGACGGTACATTGTGCACGTTTCACTGCGGTATAGAAGAACGGACAGCACCATGGATTTGTATACCATCAGCTTCGTGCTAATGGTAAGCTGTTGGTTGTTCCAAACTCGGTACTCAAGCTTCCCGAATGCCGCCGCTCCGTTCGACACGCGGATACGTAGATCACTGTGTATCTGCTGATCGCTCGACATCACACTCTCAAGGTAGCGGAAGCTGGAGATCATTTACAATACTTCAACATCAATGCTGTTTCGCGGCAATATTGTAGATTGCATCTCTGGTGAATGCTGAAAGAGACAGACAGTTTTGCCTGTGTTGATGGTGAGCCCGAATTTGGCCGCTGTCGAAGCCAGCGCACTAGTCATGTGCTGCAACTCATTCGCGCTGTGTGAAAACAACGCACAATCGTCAGCAAACAGCAACATACGGATAGTTGTCTCAGACTAGTGTACTCGCACCGAAACGACGGATGTTCAACAACCCACCATCAACACGATGCTCCACACGAACACCGTAAGCACAAGTAGCATCAAAAGCACAAGACATCATTTCATGAAGATATATATTAGACAGGGCAGGAGCTAAGACACCCTCTTTACTTCACACCAGAGACAACTGCAAAGTCATCCAAGGTCTTTCCACTCAGCTACACTCTCGCTCGCATGCCACTGTGCAGACATTCAGTTATACTTACAAACTTACACGGGCAATCAAACCTAACCAACACCAGCCACAATGCCTCGTGGTTCACCTTATCAGATGCCTTGGTGAAATCAACGAAAAGCGAGTTCAATGTCTGGTAACTTTTTCTGCACTTCTCCTGCAACTGACGAGCCGCAAGCACCATATCTATAATGCTGCAACCCGAACGGAATCCACATTGCTCTCCCACGTTAGGTTCCACAACCTGACTGAGGAGGCGGTTGAGCAGGATTCGGGCAATCACCTTGCCAACACAACTGGGCAAGTTGATGCCGCGATTCGTGCAACATTGCTTGCTCCCTTTGCCCTTGTGCAGTGGTAGCACAAGGG